TATATATGCATAATATAAATTGCATTACACATCTTATATTAATTATTATACATATGCATAGTGTTTTGCAGAAAACACTATAGGCATTATTAAATTATTTGTTATATTTTTCCTTTTTAAAACTTTCTCAGATAAAGATTAAGTTTACAGAATTTCAGAACTTAAAACTTACACAGTATATAAAATATTGAAAAACAAAAGTGACAGGTCATTTTACTCATTACTTAAAATGAACTACTTTCCTTTGGAAATAAACCGGTGGGATAAACCATGTTGTTCTCTTATTATTCTCCAAAACATATAGTCTTACAAGACAAAAATGTTATAAAGGAAAGGAAAACATATAGCCAAGTATTGCTGAATAGCAAAACCAGGGTATGTATGAGAAAATGAAGTTCCACAGGGTTAGACATTGTTGTCTGTTTTATTCACTAGCGATACTCAAGGGGCTAGATTATTGCCTGGCATCTTGTTGTTGTTGTTTTTAAGTGCAATTGAGTTGGTTCTGACTCATAGCAACCCTGTATAGGTTTTCTGAGGAGTGGCTATAGTGAGTTTGAACATCCAACCTTGTGTGGTTTAAACTGACCTCACGGTCAAGTGCTTATGTTTCAGTGCCACACCAGGACTCCAAATATTTGTTGCGTTACTGTAAGATTCTTACAACTATTTCTGATGCCATTCTTTTTCTTCAGAACCACCAAATCTCAACCTTTGCTTTGGTATTTCCATAAATTACATGAGTATTCTCAAAATTGCCTTCATTAAGTTATTAACTGATTATTTCCCTGTTCTTTTAGCATGGCTGTGGGAACTTCGTCCGTGTGATTCAGGCTTTCAACCGCACTCACTTGTATGTTTGTGGGAGCGGTGCTTTCAGCCCTGTCTGCACTTATTTGAACAGAGGGAGGAGATCAGAAGTAAGTGGTTATTACTTTTGATGTTAATATCAAATAAATATGTAAAGTCTGTATTTTTAGAGTAAAAAATGTAAAAATACTGTCAATAGCCATAAACCCAAGATCTTTAAGCACGATTGTGTCACATTTGGTTACTGATTCGAGTTACTGAAAATATAGTTACTTGTCTTCAATTGAAAAAAAAAATGTGTGAGAGATTTATGAATGGAAAAACTATTAGAAGTAAGGGAAAAAACATTTGAAAGTTTATAATTATTTCACATGGGAAGCATTAATAATATTTACTTCAACGTACAAAAATATTTTATATAGACTTACTCTCTCAAATCTATTTTAATTAATTTCTTGTTTCTCAAAATTGGTAAGCCTGTCTGAGTCAGATAAATGTAAGAAAATATAATGGAGGAGGCCAAGTGGCTCTGCTGAAAATAACTGATAGAATTCATGAATCCTATGGTTCAAGCTCACCAGCTGTTCCTTGGAAACCCTATACAGGGTCGCTATGGGTCGGAATCGGCTCAACGGCACTCAACAACAACTTTCACTTTAAGGAGCTCTGCTAGTGTAGTGGTTACGAATCAAGCTGTGAACCTTAAGGTCAACAGTTTGAAACTACCAGCTGTTCCACAGGAGAAAGATGAGGCTTTCTGCTCCCGTAAAGATTTACAGCCTCGGAAACCCTGTATAGGGTCGCTATGGGTCGGGACTGACTCCGCGGCACATAACCACCACTACCACTTTCACTTTAGACCACCATCTTACTACATTAGGCCATCCTAGTCTTATTTTATTTATATTCGCTAACATGATATTAGGTACTGTGGGCCAAAGCATTTGCTAAAGATTAGTCAAATCTACAAAGGAACTTGGTGGTACAGTGCTAAGTGCTAACTGAAAGGTGGGCTTTTTGAAACCCCCAGGCACGCAACAGGAGAAAGATATGGTAGTCTGCTTCCGTACAGATATCAGCCTTGGAAGCTCTCTGGGACAGTTGTACTCTGTCATCACGAGTTTTGTGTTCTCAGCCAAATAGATCGCTCATAAGCAGTCAAATATAAGGGAGGTTGGGCTCTACCTGTTATACTAAGAAATTGTTTATTCCTTTCCACACCTGTTGATAAGGAAACTGTGAATGAGATCAAAAGACTTTTCCCACGTTCCTTGAGACAAGCATGTTGTTTTACTTAACATAATTACTTTTCAACTGAATTCTTTCAAATTATCTTAATTTAGTTTCATTATGCAACTAAATTATAGAAAGTCCAGTTTTAAAGGGATGTCCTAATTCAATTTTAAAGAACAGAATTGTGGAAAGGATTAAATATAGCTACTGATATACCCTATAAAGCTTACTTCTTTTTTTTTTTTAACAAGAATAAATCTACTTTAGAACTCATACAATTGAACAGTGATTCTTTCTATATTATTTTATTATTAAAATTCTTTATTCAAGCATACAATTTAGAAATATATAGTTTTGGTGAATTGAAAGTCATTTAAAATAACTGAGATAATAATTTGGCTCCAAATTGAGTCATTTTGAAATGTGGTTCAAGATGATATGAAATAGTAAAACTCTTAAAGGAAAAGTAAAGCTATGCTTCTTGGGAAGAATACAGTTGAATGCATTAAGCTCGTCATTCGAACCACATGCCTGTGATCAATTCATTAAATAAAGTGCTGCCTCAGACACCTGCAGTCTGTCAGAGACTCCACTGAAGGCTGTGCAGTAACTGTGCAGGCCAACAATAGCAGAGCAGTGTTGGGAATGCAGATTTCAAATAAAATCATTTTCCCATGTACAATTAGCCCACTGTGCACATCAAGGTTTCATTGGAAAGCCTGTCCATAAAATGAACTCCTTTGGAGCACCAGTATGAAATATGTTTCTTAATCACTTTGATAAATACGAATGACTTTAGTCTCAGTTCAAAAGATAGGTTTCCAATGGGAACCATTTCCATTAATTGATATACCCTATTTAAATAATATGTGAACAAAGTAGAAGCCCATTTTGAAATGAAAAGGGTTACAATTTTTTAACTTTATATATTTCGTATATTGTCAAAAGATTTCACCATAACATTACTTTAATATAAAAAGGAGCTTCCAAAAGTTCATGGGAAAATTCTATTATTTTTTTAATTCCATTTTTCTATGAACTTTTTGAAACCTCTGCATATCTGTAGTATATAAAATCACATGTAAACAAAAACTTGTACAGTTTGTTAGTTTTTTTTTTTTTTTAAACTTTTATTGTGAATTGAGTGAAGGTTTAGAGAGCATATCATCAGTTTTGCATTCAACAAATCATATACTTTGCTTCATTCTATGGTTGCAAATCCCTCCATGCACCAACGGTTCATAGCACTTACCTTTATTCACTTTAACCACTGCCTTCCTCCCTGTGTCTCCCACCAACCCCACCTTTCCCCTGCCAACCTCACTCTGGTTATATCTTGTCTGCCCCGTCGTGATCCATGTCAATGCGTGTCTACCCTCTAGAGCATTTATCATTAACTCCTCCCCCCGAAACCATCATATATTTTTTCTTATTTCAAGAAACCCACCTCTTTTATTTCTTTATTTATTTTGATGTATATATATATAAAAAAAATTTAAAAACCCTCAGGGATATATAATCGTTTAAATAATAGACCTGCACAGTTTTACCAGCACGAAACAACAACAAAGGTTTGATTAGAAGCTGTGGTGGTAAAGTGATTAAGCACTCAACTGCCAACCTAGAAATTGGTAGTTCGAACCCACCAGCCATCTGTGGGAGGAAAATGTGGAAGTCTGTTTCTGTAAAGATTTACAATCTTGAAAACCTTGTTAGGCAGTTTTACTATATCCTATAGGATTCCTATGAGTCTGAATAGACTCAGTGCATTGAGTTTGCTTTTTGGTTTAGTGTTTAAATACATACTTGTTTTACTTTAGTTATTGTTAAAAAAGAAGAAAAACAAAACAAAACCCAAAGAACCCTAGCATAAAATGATGATATCATAAGGCAGAAAATTGTATTTTGAAAGAATTTTTTTTTTTTAATTGTTAAAAGTATCTTTTGTAATGATCTGGAGTAGTACTTACTGTTAACATTATATAGCATTTTTTATCTATTTAAAACCAATTGGAAAGTTAACTAGGTTAAGTGAGCACACTCATTTATTACTCAATTTCATTTCTGACAGACTATCAACACCTTTCATCTGCCTATCTTTATTGGAATTCATGTGACCTGATAGTGTCGTTTATGATCCTATTTTACTTTCGAAGTGTTACTATGACCTTTGTGCTATTTTTTAAAGACTAATTAAAAATATTCATACAGCATTTTGATAGTAACCATCCAAATAATCCCAAATCCATTGCTATAACAATTCTTAATCGTGACTCTTCCCACTTCTAGCCACAATCTCTACTACCTGCCTTCTGTCCCTTGAGAAAAGTAAAGGAAAAGCAGAAAAGTAATGACTTAAAACTAATAAGAAAAGATGAGGAATAAATAAATAGCACTTGGTTACGTTTTCTGCAAATTCTTGGGCACATCTCACTGTTGGTTGATTTTATCAGCTATCCACATAACATTTGTTCCAATTATTAAATTTCCTTTAAGTTCCTAAGCCTGCCACTCATTAAGAAGATAACATTAAAATCGACACCAAGGATTTCACAAATTACAAAGATACCATTGACATCTAAATTACCCTCTGTATTTTTGGAAGCAAATAGGCAGCCTGGTATATTTCTTAATCTCTTTGAAGCTGTCCCTCTTTTTCAGATAAAGTTTCTTGATGAATCTACTAATAATTTCTACTATTCTGTTTTACATCTTCATTGTTTCCTCTGCATTCACTTATTTTTTCCTGTTAGAGATATAATCATGTTCTCTCGTTAGAATCATTATTTGTGTTTGCTCTTTGAATTTACTCCTCTCCTTTTGCTCTTTTGACTTCACTACAAAATGTCTCAGATGTATCCTTTGCTTTTGTACTTTATTCTCCATGTCCTTATTAAATATTTCTAAACTTTCACTCCTACCCACTAACTAAAAGTGTTTGGTTAGTGGCCAAGATTCTAAATTGACTTGCTCAATGTCCTGTCATGTAGACCAATTTGTAACATTAAACTGTTAGAAATATTCTCTATTTTTCTTGATCTTGTTTAGCATCTATGACCATAAAACATTTTACTATATGTCTTCTGTCCTACTTTTCCACCACTTACTACCCTTTCTTAACTTATTAATGTATTTTTATTGATTCAATCTACAACTGTTTATTCATTTAATAAAGGTAAACATAGAAACAAAATCAAGACCAACTTGTAGACGTTTCCAAACTGCTAAAGCACCAGACAAAGTCTTATATAAAATTTTTGATCCTTCCTTTCCATGCCAAAAATATTCATGGGTCCACATTTCTTATAAAAATTGCCAGAAATATTGTCTTGATAATTAAGATACTACAGGATAAGCACTGCAAGGTTGACAGTTCAAACACACCAGCTGCTCTGAGGGAGAAAGATGAGGTTTCTACTCCCATAAAGATTTACAGCTTCAGAAAGCTTCTACAGGATCACCGAGTCTGAATTGACTCGATGGCAGTTAATTTGTTGGTTTGTTTTGAGCCATTTGTTCAAGAAAACCAGTTGGTGCAATGGCTAAACACTCAGCTGCTAAAGGAAAGGTCTGTGGTTTGAAACCACTAGCTGTTCCACGGAAGAAAGATGTGGCAGTCTGTATCAGTAAAGATTACAGCTTTTGAAACCTTCTGGGGCAGTGCTACTCTGCCCTACAGGGTCACTATGAGTTGGCCTCAAAGGTTTATTTTATTTATTTATTTTTTAAATCATCTGATCCAACCTACAAAATTTATTCTTTTTCTCTTTAAATTTTAGAAGTATCTTATATTAGCTTTATATTGTTGCTGTTAACTACAGTTGAATTGTTTCCAACTTGTAGCAACCCTGTATAGGGTTTCCAAGGAGTGGCTTCTGGATTGAACTGCCTACCTTACAGTTAGCAGCCCAGTGCTTATCCTAGAGTACCAAACCAATACTCCAACTTTATGTTGGTGGATGTGGTGGTTGTGGTTGGGTGCGATCTAGGCAGTTCTGACTCATCGCAACCCTGTGTATGCTTTCTGAGGCTGTAAATTTTTCAGGATCAGAAAGCCTCATCTTTTTCCCATGGAGTGACTGATGGGTTCTAACTGCTAACTTTGTGGTTAGCAACCCAACTCATAATCCACAAAGCTACCGGAGCTCCTTAGCTTTCTATTAAAAGGAGATAAATATTTATCCTAATAAATATCTCTTGTCAGTGAAGTACCTTGACCACCATAGATCAAATTAAGCTGTCGGTTATAATACCCTGACTTGTCCAGTACCCTTCCCTGCTTTAATTTTCTACTTAGCACTGAGCATGAGCTGGCATAATCCAAATAGCAAACCAAGCCCATTGCTGTGGTAGCAATTTAAACACATGAAGACTCCACTGTGCTACAGAGAAGACCTGCTCCATAGGGTTTTCCTTGCTTTAATTTGGTTCACATGCATGGAGACATGGGTTGGGTTTGAACTGCCAATCTCTAGTTTAGCGTCCAATCACAACCACTTACACCACCCAGGAAAGAACAACATACTCCACATTATAAAAGATCTTTGTCTGTTTTGTTTACTTTATCCCCAAGGATCTATTCACAGACTAAATCTCAATAAATTTTTGTTGAGTAAATAAATGAAAGAATAAGTACTATAAATTTTGTATGAATTATTCATTGCTTTTTGTATAATGCTTTATCCAGCAAAGTTAAGTCGTAACATAAAATCTTGTTTTTTTAAAGTACATTTTAATTGTCTTGGAAATGTTATCATCCTTATACACATTTTTCCTCTGTGGACAGTTTTCTTTTTTTGGTCAATGTTCATTACACCAAGTTTAGGCTTATAGTGATCTTTGACTTTGAAGTAGTTTTTCCTGGTATTTATTTGAGAATTCTGTGTTGGATCAATCCTATGGGAAATGTACTGGGATGAGGATTAGACCAGCTGAGTTCAGCTTATAATGCACAGATGGATTCTGCTTATGGGCCAAGTACTTCTTAACACAGTAATTTGGAAGTCATAAACAATCAAACAGAAGCCATGTTGTTTTTGATGTGATTTGTTCTATTAATTAATAATTGTTTAACTAAGTGCTAAGTTATTTATTACTACTACATCTTCAATTTTATCTACAATAAAGGACCAAGTTTTTATGATTGACTCCAAGTGTGAATCTGGAAAAGGACGTTGCTCTTTCAACCCCAATGTGAACACAGTGTCTGTTATGATCAGTAAGTAAAAAATCAAAGGGGTCGCTGTGGGCAAAATATAAAATAACAAAGAAAAAAGAAATTTATGGGACAGTATGCCATTTTGGAACATTGCATAAAGTAACATGTGAAGACTGTGACAAAATAAAGGACGTATGTTTTCATTTTCTCCTTTCAAAGAACATTTGTGATTAAATGAAAACATGTAATTTTCCATCTTAATAATGAGAAAGCTGTCATTCCTATAGTAAGTCAACCAGTGACAAAAAAATCTGTTTGAAAAAATGAATAACATTTTTTTCATATTTTTTCCTACCAGAAACTATATAAATATTTCCTCATGTTTTAGTAATTCTTTAAAATTATTAACAAATGGTATTTCTAACAAATGATAGAACAGAGTACACTTATTAGCCAAGTGCATACTTTTTTGATTCTTTGTGGTGGTTGTTGTTGTTGAGTGCTGTAGAGTCAGTTTCAACCCATAGTGACCCTGTATCGGGTTTCCAAGGAGCAACTGGTGAGCTTGAACCGTTGACCTTGAGGTTCAAATTGACTTTGAAGTCCAGCGGTTTTACCCTGTAGATTGTTTAGAAGACACTAATCCTGGTGTGGTGCTGGGGGTTAATGCGCTGGACTTCAGAGTCTTTTCAGCTGATTTCCTAAATATTATCTAACAGAAGCAGTGTCTTGGAAGGCCTTTTCATTATTAGGAAGGAATTTTTGTTTACCTCTAGAAATTGTAAAGGAGTCCTGTGGCATTGAGGGTTACGAGTCGGACTGTTAACAACAAGGTCAGCAGTTCAAATCCACCAACCTCCTCCTCTGGAGAAAGATGAAGCTTTCTGCTCCAGTAAAGACTTATAGCCTCAAAAACCCTTTATAGTGCCACTATGACTTGTAACTGACTCGAAGGAACACAACAACAGAAATTGTATGATATGTCTCATGATAGCTAATTTCATATAAAAAGTGTTATAAAAATAAACTTTAAAGACATTTTAACACAGTAATATTGGAGTTTTATCTAATTGCATAGTGCTCAAAAAATTGACTAGAGAAAGGCAACATATATTTTCTTGTTAAATTGTGATATATCATTTAATAGCTTGGTTCTTAGGGAACTGAATTTGTTTCCAAATTGAGAGTTATTAGTATTCCTGATAGTTTGAAGACTTGAGACTTCACTTCCTGCATTCATGTTCCTATTATCTTTGACTGTTATGATTAACATTATAATCCGTACTATCAAAGTAAATGATTAAATAATTTGCTTACCTTAAAAACTGAAAGTAATCCATGTGGCACAATAGTGAATAATTGTTATCAGGACTGACTGTGAGGGTTGGAAATGTAAAGGTAGACATTTTGTAACAAAAGGAGGGAAGTGGCTGACTTTGCAGTCCAGGAGTGGAGGTCTTTGGGACCATCACGGGAGAAGAGAGGAATGTGAGACCCTACCCAGAGAAACAGTGATCCCAGAGATGGAGGCAGAGACTAAGACGTAGAGAGATGGAGTGGCTGGGGACTCTAGACCCAGAGAGGGAGAGAGGGACTCTGTGCTCACCGCCAGGGAGCAGGCTTGCAAGGCATACCCTTTGGTTGGTTGATGATGCATGGAAGGGATTGTAACCATGACAATGAAACCATATACAATAGGATGAATGTAAAGCTAATGTTCTCCCATGTAAACTATCAAATAATTCACAATAAAATATTTTAAAAAACACAACACTGAAAGTAAAAATAGTAGAAACTTTTATAAACTTGATTTTATTGTATAATCTGCCCTATTAATTTTTCCTCTAAAATTATGTCCATATCTGTTTTATTTCAGCACAGTAGACTTACGTTGTTAGTCATCTTACTTATACCAGTAGGACTTTATCATTTCTGTCTGTTTGTAATGTATTAAATAAGATGTTATCAATTTAATTTTCAAGGAGTACTGAGAACTAGAAGCATTCTAAATGTCATAATATAGCTATGGTATCTAACTCATTGTGCAAGATTAATGGTATTATGCTACTGTTAGTCACTGTTATGTTGTTGTTGTGTGCCATGGAGTCGGTTCTGACTCATAGCGACCCTCCATAGGGTTTCCGAGGCTGTTAATCTTTACGGGAGCAGAACGCCTCATCTTTCTCCCGCGGAGCAGCTGGTAGTTTCGTACTGCTGACCTTGCGGTTCGCAGCCCGATTCGTAACCATTACGCTACCAGAGCTCCTTAGTCACTGTTATAGCAAATTTTTAAAAAAAGTCTGGTGATGTCTCAAAGAATCTATCAAAAACCTTAAGAGGTTTTTCTGGTTTGTGGAAGTAAAATTGGAAAACAAAATATTTTTAATTAAAGTTAAAATGGCATTAGTTTATATATTTACAAAGCCTTTCAAAGAAATTTTGAAAAAGGAAAAAAATCCCCTCTCTCAAGCATGATTCTTTCTAAAAATTTATTAAATATTTATTTATACAAAAGAAGCAGAATGTTCGTAACTTGCCATTAAATTTATTGAGGATTTATGACAGGAAATGAAATCAATTAGGCATGCAGGCTTCTATAATGTTCAAGACATAAGTAATGATGTGGTATGAAGTGAGATTCGAATTGGCCTTCTCTGTCACACGCCAATCCCTGAGTAGCTTTCTCCTTTTCCTTCCTGGAAACAGATACGAGATTTCTTATAATTGTGCAATCAATCTACTAGACAGCAGAAACTCATAACTTACTATTTTGTGAGTAATAGAGTATAACAAAAATATGAATGAACTACAGAAAAATTAAAATGTTATAGGCATTTAACAGCCTGTGTGTTTTTGCTTTTCAAGTGTTTATAGAATTTTAAGGAAGTTAAATTGCTCAAAAAAAAGCTTTCATGCACAATTTTGTTACATCATTATGATCATTTTCCATGGACTTTGGATCCCTACTTGAAAAGACAGCTGGGTCACACACTGGTGGTCATACCTGCTTGTTAACTGGTAGGAGTCCAGTTCATGACCTGGTGAGCACATACTAGAAACATTGCATGCTCATTCTACCCTGGGCCAAATGGTATTGCTTATTACTAAACAGTAAGTCGAGAGTGTTTCAAAATGTCCCCATCCTGCCAAGATGACTACAGTCTGAAAGTAGCCAGGGGAGAATCCTAGAACATTAATCAAAGAACAGAGCTGCATAGTGGTTCAGTAGGACAAACCTGAGAAATAGGATTCTTTTTAAAATTCATATCTATGTAGCTACTGTTTTATACTCAATGGTCCTATTGCCTCTGACCAACTGAATGCTTACTGTTCCTATGAAGATAAAATTAATGTGAATCTTAACAGAGAAGCTGAAAGTTTAATGTTGTCTATAGAGATTCAAATATTTGATTCGATCATTAATAATGGCATTTTTAACTTGGTTTTTAAAAGTTTTCTTTCTTGTCTCTATCTTGTATTTATTATAGTTTAATTACAATTGAAAAAATTGGAGCACTTCATTTATCTGAATAGGATCCTTCTAGCACAAAACTTCTGAATGTATTCTTTTAAAAGTTAAATCCTTAAAAGCATAATATTGTTTTGACAAATTTAATGTGTCTTCCATATCACTTATTACCTTCAAATCATTTTGTAAAATGAAAGAGTCTTTTATATGTGATGAGAACTTCTGAAATGATAATTCAATCATCAGATGAGGGTAAGTCAAAAAGTATTGCTACTCGGGTTTCCATTCATTGATGCACAGGTTTATTTCAAACAAAATGTGTTTAAACATGTCTTTGTGATCAGTGGGTGGCTGCAGAAAAGTTCTGTTTTAGTCTTGTTAGGATTTGTCTTAATTATCTAATGCTGCTATAACAGGAATACCACAACCAGACATTTATTCCCCCACAGTTTAGGAGACTAGAGGTCCAAATACAGAATGCCAGTTCTAGGGGAAGGCTTTTCCTTTGTTGGCTCTGAGGAAAAGTCTATGTCTCCTTCTAGCATTTGTAGTTCTAGTATTTGTTGGAAATCTCCCCTGTGTTGGCATCACACTTCACCTGGATCTAGGAGCTTCACAGTGCAGAGATCCCAGGTACAAATGACAAACTCCGTTCCAGCTCTTCTGTCTTGGTAGTCATTGATTCCTCTGAACCCTACTCATTGCTCTCTCTCTTTGTATCTCAAGAGATACTGACTCAAGATACAAACTAATGCTGTAGGTTGCATCTGGGCTCATTAGCATTATAAAAGTGAGGATCTAAAACATAGGCTAGCACATCAGATCGATGGTGATCATATCAGAGCACCCATAATATAAGAGTGATTGCATCGTATTAGATCACATTATGGAAGTGATGTTAACTGCTAAACTTCTGAGAATCCTGTCCTAGCCAAGTTGACACAAAACCTTAACTGTCATGGGATGCCTTTAAAAAAGACCATTCTAAACAGTGATTTCAAAGGGGTCTGCTGGGACAGTTAAGTTCAAGGTAGAGAGGTCAGCTTAGAAGGTTATGGCAACTGTTGTTTAGAATTTTACAGAGGTAATCTTGATAGATTTTCTCCAAAGTTACAGGATGAGCATGGGACTATATTATGAAGAAGTTTTAAGAATATAGAAAACTGCACTGGTGAGAAAATGACCAGGAAATTTATGCCAAGGGATGTTTTCTAGCACAACAATGCACCTGCATTGTTATCAAGGAGAGCAAGTGCTGTCTGTGAGAGTTTTGTTGAGAAATCTAACCCCATCCACCTTACAGCCCTGATGTTGCCCTTTCAGAATTTTAGTTTTTTGTTCCCCTAACTCAAAGAACATTGAAAAACACATATGAGTCCCTCGAGTATGCTAAAATGGCTGTTTTGATGTGGTATAAATTGAAAATCACATAATTCTATTGGGATGGGTTACAGAGATAGAAACAATGCTTAAGGAAGTGTATAGCTCTGTGTTTAAGGTACAGTAGCTTCACATTTTGGTAGTTTTGTTTTATAAAGGTGGCTGTGAGTTGATAACAATACTTTTTGACTTGCCCTCATAGTTTGTAGATTAGAACATTGATACTTGGAGCCGTTACATTATTTAGTGCTAATTTTCAGTTTGTTTGTGATTCTAAGATTAGAAAACACATTTTTTGATATATGATGTTTTTATATTAAATTTAAAGGACTTTTTTGTTGTTATTTTTTAGACATGCACCATTTCTTTTTTAAGGAAAGGATTTTCTTTTTATTATTGCACATGGAATTTTCTGATACAGTAAGAAAACTAAATAAATTTCCAAGTAAATTATGTCAGAATAATTCAAGGAAATATCTATTTGTTACTCAGACTACTTAGAGTCTATAACAACATATTACATCTTCAAATTTGTGTTTCTTATACACACTACATAAGCTTCATATTTAGTATTACTAGGAGTGGACAGGGAGTCCTGGTGTGGCGCCAGACTGCAAATCTGTTTGAACTGCAAAGTTGGTGGTTCAAGCTTACCAGCTACTCCTTGGAAACCCAAAACAGAGTCGCTGTGGGTCGGAATCGACTCAACGGCACTTAGCAACAACAACCAGTGTGGACAGAAAAGTTTTCCTTGGTATATAGTATGATGTTGTTTAGATTTGGTTGTTTTCAGTTGTTTTTAACTTTTGATTGTGAATTGGATAAAGGTTAACAGACTAGATCATCCTCTTTGCTTTCACCTGTCATACATTCTAGTTCATCTAAATGATTACAATCCCCTCC